ATTCTGATTTCACGGATAGCTTCGTCTCGTCGAAATAGGCGATTTTCATATATTATATGTTAAATTCCGCCTTCCGGATTAGGAGATATCGTCATTTCTTTGCGGCCTACCATTTTGAATATGATTTCTTTTCATATTGGATTTTTGATTTTCTCTGGCTTCTACAGGCTACACGACTTCATTCTGGGCTTTTGGATAATTTGGAAATTGATTTTCCAATGTGCTTCTTTGCTTCATTTCTTCATTTAATCAATGGGTTTTTGTTGAGAGATGGGAAGTTGAGATTTATTCTTCATTAACCTGCAATTAAAAGATAAAAATAATTATTAGTGGTATATTTATTCATATAAAATAGATAATGAGGGTATAAAATTGTAATAAAATATGATTATCAAATACCCCCACACCTAAACTTTTGCTAGTCCTCTAGCAAAGAAAAATAAAAAGAAAATCCTAACTCACTTTCGCAGGAATCGCGGTTGTATTTAGCGCATACAACAAGCCTTTAAACCCCTAGGTTACCCTAGTGGACGAGTTGTAGTCTCGTGAGGGTTTGTAGTGAATATACCCACAAAATTCAGTCAATCTTGCCAAATTAAAGAAGTCAGTAAATAACTAAATTCACTTGATAACTTTTAGATAATCTAATTAGAGCCAGTTACCACTCTAGAAAATATTTTTATATATAACTCTAAGGTATATTTTTAAGAAAATCTTCTCATTGTAGCAATACAAAACCAAGCCAAACTTAGAAATTTAATTTAAAAGTTTTGAAAAGAACATGCTAACTCTTTGTTTTAAATAATTTTCAAGTTGTTTGATTTAAAATATTTTCCAAGACCATATATACAACTATAAAACATTTATTAGTTTTTTTTAACTCTTTCTTCCTTGGTGATTTTTTCTACTTTAACGGGCTTTCTAAGTGACCATTTAACGAGTTTTGGGCCAATGGATCCCAACCCAAATGGGCTTAGGTCATTAAGTATGGAAATACTCATTGGGCTTAATTACTCGGTCAGCTTAGGCTTTATAAGATAGAATCACCTTGAATTAAAGAGTTTTTTTTTTCTTTTTGGTGCCCATTTTTCGCACTCTTCTTTTGCAATTTTTTTTTTGTATATGTATATATTTTTTGAAAATATGTAAATCAAGACACTTTGAAAAAATTATTTTCAACTCTAAGTTAAGCATGCAAAAATTTTATTATTTTAAATAAAAATCCAAGTTAAGGCTTAAATAAAGTATACTACTTTGAAAATCATTTCTTAAGAAATTTATTTAGAGTTATCATAAAAGGTGATCTTAAGTAAATAACCAACTAGGGATTAGAAATTTTCAAATTTATCAAATAAATCAATTATTACATAACTTCATCAATTTGGCAAGTGACGATATTTTTATAATTTTTTTAAGAAAAAAGAGAAAAATGTAAAATGTAAAATAAAGAGAAAAAATAACTAATTCCCACCCCCACACCTAAATTTTGCATTGTCCTCAATGCAACTCTATGATGCATAAAGTAAAGCAGATAAGAAATGAAGCACTTACATTTGGTCGGCTGATAAAAATCTGTAATTACCTTTTGTCTGAGGAGAATGAAATCAAAAATTTATTCTATTTTTTTTCTTCTTTTTTTTCTTTTTTTTCTTTTTTTTTCTTTTCTTTTCTTTTTTTCTTTTTTTAACAACTGAACAAGAAACTCTCAAATGAGAGAAGAATAAATTCTTTTTATTATTCTGAAATAAACAAAATAAACAATGTAGAATGAAATATTCAACATGAAGAGTTCATGTTCTACATTGAATCCTACCTTATTGCTGAAAATTCTCCCACGGATTTTAAATAAATTCAACATGATATAATCAATAATGTGCTGAAATTCTAAGCATTCCGGGGTGTTCAATGATTTTTGTGGCAATGGAAGGTAGGTATTATTGGTGTCATGCATATTGGACTTAGATTCTTGATTTGTGAATGTTTGTTCTCTAACAACCAATTTTTCTTTAACAATTTTCCCAACCCCAAGATTCATGGTTGATGTGTAAAAATTTGGTTGTTGTTTATTTTCCAAAAATCTTAGTTCATCAAGAAAGAGTTTTTCAAAATTCAGTTCAAAACAGCAATTGTCCAACACAGTTTTTTTATTTTGACAAACCCGATCTGCTTCTCCTATAATTTTTAGCTCCTCATCGAAAATTTCCTCAAAACTTAGATCTGACTCTTCTTCTTCTTCCCTCGGTCTTTCCTGAATTAAATTATCAGGGGAAGAATGAATTGGACCAAGAATTTGACTTAAAGGTGTTCTTTCCTGATTATTGACATGTTTTCCTGACTGTAGTGCATTCATTTGAGTGTCCTTAGGATTGACCACGGGTTGACTCAGAATTTCTCCTTCCTCTACTTCACTTATGGCACTAGCTAGTTGATCAATATGGGTTTCTAATCTAGCTAGGGCTTGAGTGTTAGAGTTAAGTATGAGTTCGGTTGATTGCATAAAGGAGTTCATCGTGTAGGATGTTTGAGTTAACATATCTGTGGCTAGTGTGGAGGCCTTAATAATGATTTCAAAACCTTTTTCCAAAAAATTAAGACGTTCATCATGATCTGTATCAAGAGGAGTGTGAGTTACAACTTGATGATGAGGAGACTGATTTTGATGTGACAGATTGAGTTGTATATTCCTGCTAACTAACACCAACTGATGCCGCATAAACATGTACCAAAAAGGTTGCAAGTGTATAACCGTGTCAAGTTATAGTATTTAAGATATCGATCCCACGAGGAAAGTGTTTTGTAGGAGAAAATATAAAATTGGTTCTTATTTTGTGTGCGTGACAAATAGGAGTGAGGAGTAAATGTGATTGTGGAGAGATAATGAGAGTGAAAGTGATAGTGTGTGAAACGGCGCAAAATTTAAGTGAGAGTGAATGTGACAAAGAATGAGTGTGATCAATAAGGCAAGAAGGAAAAAATGAATAAAATCAAGAAACAAATGAAAAATCAAGAATGAAGAACAAAATTCTAGAATAAAAGAAAATGCAAGAAATTAAAGATGGTGGATTCAATTATAGATATGGATAGTCTAAAATTGAACCCACTTCTTAGAAAAGGGTGATTCCCTAGAGGTTCTAACCTAAAGGGCGAATCAAACAAAATAAAAATAAACAAAAAGAAAAACTAAACCCAAGAGGGTTCTAGCCTCAAGGTGAATAGTATAAGAAATTAAAATCTAACTACAAAATAAATTGCAAAATCTAAACTACAAAATAAAATTGCAAGAATTAAATGCAAGAAAATAAATCTACTCTATAAGCATGAAATAAATCTAAGGCAAGAGGGTTCTAGCCTCTTGGCTATTTAACAAGAAAATAAAATCTAACTACAAGCATAGAAATAAATCTAAACTAATAAGCAATAAAAGAGAAAAAGAAAAGAAATGCAAACCTTCAAATAATTCTCCATCTTCATCTTCATCTTCATCATCCAACAAAGAGAAGAAGAGAAAAATTTAAAGAGGAAAAAATTATTTTTATTAATTGCAACTAAAGTTATAATTTTTGGAAGGCCTTCTCAATTAAGAGTAGCCCTCCTCTCCAAAAGGAGTTACAAAAATTTTCACACCTCTAACCCCTCACTCTCTACCCCTATTTATAGTAAACATCAGTGAATGAGAGCCATTGGATCAAACTTGAGCCCCAAGACAAGCAAAATCAGCCATTGACGCGTGCTACAGTAATCTGGCATCGATGCAGGCATCGATGTAGGTATCGATGCCAGCATCGATGCCCACATCGATGCTGACATCGATGCCCACTATTTCCAAATTCTGATTTCACGGATAGCTTCGTCTCGTCGAGATAGGCGATTTTCATATATTATATGTTAAATTCCGCCTTCCGGATTAGGAGATATCGTCGTTTCTTTATGGCCAACCATTTTGAATATGATTTCTTTTCATATTGGATTTTTGATTTTCTCCGGCTTCTACAGGCTACACGACTTCATTCTGGGCTTTTGGATAATTTGGAAATTGATTTTCCAATGTGCTTCTTTGCTTCATTTCTTCATTTAATCAATGGGTTTTTGTTGAGAGATGAGAGTTTGGGATTTATTCTTCATTAACCTGCAATTAAAAGATAAAAATAATTATTAGTGGTATATTTATTCATATAAAATAGATAATGAGGGTATAAAATTGTAATAAAATATGATTATCACCAACACATTTATTAACACGCGTGAAAATCATGTGCATCCAAATCATTGGAAAAAGCCCTTTCATTTCCTTTTTTAATAATTTTAAGCATAACTTTCACACACTGCCCTGAACTTTAAATACATTTGGGTTAAAATTAATAACCATTTAATTAGAGCAATTACTTTAATAACTAGAGTTTTAATGTGAAGAGTAGTTTTTTTTGGTCAATGAAATGATTTTGTTCAATTTCCAATTGAGAATTTTAAGAATCAAAACAATCCAGAAAAAACTGGAAGACAACTATGAAAGAAAAACTTTACATTTGCTCAATCTTATCTTTTATGTAAGGAGAAACTTTATCATTCAAAACTTTAAAGAGGATGGATAGCTTCACAGTTCGAAACAAGAATTCAGGGCCTCTGGCTTTGTGCTAGAAAATCCTCTGGTTTCTTTCTTGCCATAGTATAAACTGATACTGATAATGCCAGTCTTTTTAGTTTCTTCATAAAACCCAAACCCTTCAGTCTCAAGCTGTATCAGTCAATGATACAATCCTAATTGCATGATTTCCAATTGTAATTCAGCCAATCCATAACTCTATTCCTTATACTAGCTGAATATTCACATTCAAAAAAGAGGTGTCTGCAGGTTTCCTACTGCTGGTAAGGACACAGAACACAGAGATTTGTGTCAAGCATCCTCATGTGGCATAGTCTATCTTGCATTAATAATTTAGAATGAATGGCTAACTATAAGATAAAAGAATGCTTAGGGTAGAGCAAACCATCCCAGACTGTTTTCAACCAAGCAATTGAGCATTTTGTTGAATTAGTTCACTGCAGATAGAAGATAATTGAACCTTCCCCTCAGAGCAATTCCTGTTGATGACATTTTGAATATTTATAACATTACTAAATTTGTCAATCATCATATCCCTCACTTTGAGAAGTTGCTTCCACATCCAAGAATCATTCACCCTTATTTGAACTTGCCATATGTTAAATTGTCGTAGGTAGATACCATGAACCCACTTAATCCATGACAGATCCTTCTTGAGATGAATCATCCATAGAAGCTTCATGGCCGCTACATAGTTCCTGGCTTTAGCACATAAGACCCCTAAACCTCCACGCTCCTTGCTCTGACAAATTGTAACCCAGGAAAGCAAATGAATTTTATGATTCCAAAGAAAATCAGAACAGAGACTATCTATTTTCTCCAGGACTTTAACTAGCAAGACATAGTTACTAGTCCAAAAGATTTGTATACCCAAAATAACTATTTTGATTAGTTGCAATCTCCCAGCGTAGGACAATGTTTTCTTCTTTTGCCAACTCTGGAACTGGTCAAAGACTTTGTTAATCAAAGGGGAGCAATCCAAGTATGATAACCTTTTTGATATTAATGGCATACCCAAATATCTCACTGGCAATACACCTTCAGAAAAGTTTAGAAGAGAACAAATATGGAGCTTTAGGTTATCATCAATATCACTCATGTACGTAGAGCACTTATTAGGATTTGTTTCTAAACCAGAAACTTGGCTGAATTCAGAGAGACAATCATTCAATCTTGCACTTGAATACATATCAGCTTTACAAAACAACAACAAGTCAGCAAAGAATAAGTGAAAATTCTTAAGTCTGGAACATTTTGGATGGTATCTGAAGAGATTATCATCTTAATTTGAGACTGTTCAATTTCCTTGACAGGTACTCCATTCCAAGAACAAACAGATATGAAGAGAGGGATCTCTATGTGAAGAGTAGTTTGTACTTTCAGTAACAGTAGTTGAGAGTTAGTTGAAAAAATGAAAAATATTGGGTTTTTTATAACACCCCAGACTTAGACTTATGTAGGGGTTTAAGTGATGTTTTTAAAGTTTAGATGGGTAATATCAAAATAGCCAAACTTAAAAGGGGTAGGTGAAATTTATCCTTTTTTTTACTCTTTCTTTCTTTCTTTCTTTCTAAAGAAGATGGTCCCCACACCCTAGAACTCTCATGCTTAATGGCATGTCCCACTGCCAAAAGGCAAATTTTGCTTCTAGTTTCAAAAGTGTAAGGCAATAAGAAACAACCACCCTATTATTATGGCAAACTATTACATAATCACTCTTTACCACCTTTCTTATCTAACATTATGAGATGCTATCCCATGCTTAAATAAACAATATTATATTAACTTTAAGGAAAGGAGATAGACAAGACTCATCATCCTTTTGCTTTGTTATAGATAAATTATTTATTTATTGTTGCGTAAAGTATATTCTCATTGAACTATCAAATAAAAGCATATGGTTGGGGACATCGCATGTGACTAACTGCGAGTTTGTCACGGCAATAATAGAACCACAATTGATGAGAGAAAGCCATAAAAAAATTTCGCTTCAGACAATACATTTCTCCAATAAAAATACTTTATTGTTTAGTAAATAGCAGTTCATCTTGAATAAAAAGTGAAAATGAATGCGAGTCATGGGTGGGGGTGTCCAAAGAAGTTGGTCCGGCCATAAATTGGGGTCCGAGCTAGGCAAAAACCCTTGCTTGGACCCAGGCCTGGATGTACTGAATGGGGAACAGGTCGGGCATCGGGCTGATCCGGATATCTTTTTTTCTTTTCTTTTCTTTTTTGTGATAAAAAGATGTAAATTTTGCAAAAAGAATAAAAAATCACTTAGAATTTTTACATTTTTTGCAAAAAAATCTTATTATTAATTACTTAGAAGTATACAATCTGTAAATTTTAGAGAACTATTAAATGAGAAATAAATTCAATTTTATTATTGATCACTAAGAGTTACAATATTTTTTTTGTAAATTATCGCATCACAATAGTATGGGTACAACCTAACTTAATTGGCACTTAACCATCTATATCAATATCATTTGTAACTCTTTCTAAATTTTTTTAGAGATTTATAAATAATTTTCCATTCTTTTTCTGCCATCGTCAACTCTTCAAGTCTTTCTCCAAGAGCAGCTACATGTTCGATGTCTTGGCGTCTCTTTTCGAACATCTACCAATCTTGTAAGCACATTTTCACCTGTATGGTAGACGGATTCGGTGACATTCTGTGGTCATCAATCAACCATCCTGATATGATGAAGACACATTCCGAAGCTACGGTAGAAAATTGCATTGTTAGTAAATTGTGAGGCATGAGAGAAAGCACAAGACATGAAGCCGTTCTATATACTTTCTACCATTGTAAAATATTAAAGTCTGTCTCATTAAACTAAAGGTATAAATAAATATTGTTTAAGTTCAGAAACTTTCCTTGTGGATGATGATCCACCACTATTACCACCACTACCCTTACAGTTAGCTTATTTACCATCAAATTTCTTGAATAAGAAGCTTTACCTTCACTCAGCCTAGAGCTCGTAGGAGCTAGAGCTTGAGATCTTTTGCTATATCTATATGTGTACTCTTCAAATAATCTTTAAAAATAATATTTGATTGTGTTATGATGAGTAAGAGCAGTAATACTCTCACCGCCATCATTTATTATCATGTTTTCATATAAAGAATTCAACAAATTTTGAAGGTCAACATCCTTCAAGCATGAATTAATAAGAATGTCAAACCAAACATAATAGGAATGAGTCTAAAATACTTGTTAAATTTGCTTTCCATTTAAAAAATCATATCTAAAAAATAATCATTCATGCGATAAGTATTAAAAAAAGGTTTAAATATTTAAAACTTAGAAAGCAACTTGAGTAATAGTTAGGTAATAACAACCAGATAATAAAGTAGTATCTTTAAAAAAAACTTGTAGCATATCCCTTACACAAATTATTGGTATCAGAGCTCGGGCTACGCTTGGGCTATTTGGAGGAGTAGATCGATTTGGGAAGCTCGTCTAGGGTTTCAGTTGGTGAGAATGGTGGGATCTTTTCGGTAAAGCTTCTTTCTTTTCTTAGTTTTGGATCTATTCTTCATTTGTTTCCGCATTGATTGTTGGTGTGTTGAGGATTATGGCCGAGAAAGAGGGAGTTGAGGGTAGTTCTTCAGGTGTGAAGACTGTCCAAAGTTTGAGTATCCACTCGATGAAGATTGACGTGGAGAAATTCAATGGCACTAATAATTTTGGACTTTGGCGATGCGAAGTCTTGGATGCGCTCAATGCGCAGAATTTGAAAGATATGTTGGAGTTGGACGGGAAACCGGACGACATTAATGAGAAGGTTTGGAAAAAGATGAATCGGACTGTGTGTGGTGTGATTAGGTCTTGTCTCACTCAAGATCTAAAATATGATGTGATGAATGAGACTTTTGCGAAGAAGATTTGAGAGGTCCTAGAGAGCAAGTACTTGACAAAGAGCGTTGAAAACCGCTTGCATTTGAAGAGGAGGCTTTATCGCTTCCAATTGAAGAAGGGAACATCCATTAGTGATCACATGAACCACTACACGAAGCTTCTTGCAGATTTGGCGAATATAGATGTCATTGTTGAAGATGAGGACAAGGCGTTGCTATTGTTGAGTTCCTTGCCCGACGAGGAATATGAGACGTTTGTCCTTACTCTTATTAATGGGAAGACATCTCTTTCATATAGTGAGGTCACCGCTGCATTAGTGAATTACCAACTCAGGAAGAATGACAAGGAGACTTCTATTGAGCCGGTAGCGGGGGCATTAGTTACAAGAGCAAAGGGTCCAAACCGAGGTAGAAGGTTTGTATTACCTACTCTACAGAGTGGATGTTGGATTCGGGCGCTACATACCATATTTGTCCTAGGAGAGATTGGTTCTCCAGCTTTCAGGAGTTGGAAAGAGGGGATTTCGTGCTCATGGGGAATGATCACAAATACTTTATTGGTGGTATCGGTACCGTTCGGATCAGGATGAGTGACGGGGTGATTCGGGAGTTGGTTATGTTGGCCTTCTTGTTTTGATGATGTTTAACAAACAATTTACTTCTAATGTTGTTTGTCTAGTGTTTGTGTTTTCGTATTTACTCTAGGCAAACAACGAGTTGGAGGATGAATGGAATAGAGATTCAACGATCATATTCAAAGGAGGTTGGCGGAATGTCGGTGAAGCCTTGCAATTTAAAGTTAAAGATCAAGTTCAAGCTTCATCTGTATGTGTACCAAGTTGAGCTACAATGAAGATCAAGATCTAGCTTGGGTAATCTAGTTTAGATTTTATATTATGTGTGTTAAGTACTTTAAGCTCAATATTATACACACACATTATATTGGTTTTCATATATATATATATATATATATATTCAAAGGAGGTTGGCGGAATGTCGGTGAAGCCTTGCAATTTAAAGTTAAAGATCAAGTTCAAGCTTCATCTGTATGTGTACCAAGTTGAGCTACAATGAAGATCAAGATCTAGCTTGGGTAATCTAGTTTAGATTTTATATTATGTGTGTTAAGTACTTTAAGCTCAATATTATACACACACATTATATTGGTTTTCATATTTACAATTGTGTTTTTTTTAAATATTTCATAGAATATGCAATTTTGTGAAAATATGGTATTCATTGTTTTTTGGACTTAACAATAATCATATACATATTTTATTAAGTCTATATAATCATTGTGCAAAGTTTCAAAACATGGTTTAACCAAAATATCAAATTTCATATGTTTACATTTTCGTGTTTTGAACTATTTTGCAAAATGATGATTTTTCACAAATGGGAAATGCAATTTGGAAAATTCTTTTTGTAACATGTTCACTTACATGTTTATATACTTTTCCCAAAGTTTCATAATTTTTGGACTTCATTTGTTATTTTTAACAATTTTCCAAAAGTCAAAAAATCTGTTTTCAAACCTGTTTTTCTGTTGTATCTATTCGCGGTTGACCGCCCATGAGATTAGAAACTCACTATAGGTTTTTATGGCTCACAGTCGACCGTGGAGGTCGACCGTAGCGAGTCCAGAGAGTTTCGCGGTCGACCATCGCAGTCGACCGTCGCTTGTCCAGAAAAGTTCTACCGCTTTTTGTTCTTCGCGGTCGACCGCCGATATGACCGTTGGACTCCAACGGCTATTTTCTGAGCTATTTTTCTGGGGGCTTTGTTATCTTTTTAGTGAGGTTTTTGCTAATGTTTTGAGTGGGTATTAATACCCTATTGCCTTCAGCTCTCTATTAACAATTGAGAGAGTTTTAAAACAAGTTTAAGAAAGTCTTAACAAGGGTTTATGTTTGGTTTAAGTGTGTTTATAAGCTTTTAAGCATTTGAATGTTTTGATTTTGCGAATCAATTCCACAAGAGCTTGAGGAGATCATCTATTGAAGTTTGAGCTTCCAATTATTCTCCCTCCAACTCTTGATCTATTGAGAAGTTTTCTAAACTCTATTTCTAGCTCTTTTATATATTTGATTATCATTGTTATTAAGCTAGAACTACATTGAGTTTAGTTTTGATTTATATCTCTTTGTTCACACACAACCTTTTGAGCTTATTGTATTTACATTCATAGTATAATTTGGGGTTGTGGGTTTGTGACTAAGAGTTGTGCTTAATTGAGTTCTCACCTTATTTAGAGAACAATCATTTGATTTATATTGTGCTTATTGTGAGATCACTTTGTAATACACTTGTACACCGAGAGAA